TCAGGGGTGCCTCTCTCTGAATTGAGGTGCCCTATATCAGTTGTAGTATTAGCGGGATGACTGTTTAAGTTGTAACAGCTCCGTGATCACCACAGGAATGTCTCGCTTATTGATGACTGACCAGTGTGCGGACATTTTGTTTAGGAATTGTACTCTTCATGAACGCGTGATGAATATCGCAGTCTCTGCAAGAGCTCAAGAAGACCAGTGTTCTGTAAAAAACAAAATGTGGTATTTGTTAAGTTTCTGCTTTATGCACACACTGATGTCATGCCACCACTTGCTTGTCATGTGCAAATAAAAACCCGCTGAGACAATCGGCAAAGGATGCTTTCACCTGATCAGGTGTCTGCGTCTCCTCATTTCTCTCTCCCCCTCCCTCACCTTCACGGACGCCGTCCTTTCCTGGAGGAGACCCGGCCTCGGCTGGAGCTGGACTCCGGCAGCATTTCTAAAGCCAGACACTGCAGCACGCAGCGCTTCGGGAAGCCCCTGTTTTACAGCATGTTTCAGAGATAGCCACTTTGTTTTGCCACTAAATTTCCCAAGACCTTTAAGGTCTCTGTTTCCAATATAGTTCTGGGCACACCTTGCTTTATCGGCATTTAGAGTTAGGGCCCTTTAGTGTGTCATTTTTAGATTGTAAGACTCTTATGGCAGAGTTTCATCTTCATGTATGCCCTCAGGCCCAGAGGAGATTTCCCACCTCACCCCCAACTTCCCTGGGGCAAAGATGAGTTTTTCCACAAACCAAGTAAACCCCAAAGCTCATGAAGCAGTGAACAGTTTTTACTGTTCAACTTAGGTCCTTAGTTGTAGAGAGGAAATACACCACCATTTCAGTGATGATATAAATAATAGATTTCAGATAGAGGTTCCACTTGGAGCTGTCGTTTTCCCTAGGATAGGAAGTTCAAGTTAGAGAATTACAAATGAAAGAATTTCATAGCTCAGAGATTTTTGTGCTTGTAATTTTTGGCTCGGAGACGGGAAGGAAAACTCCAACTAAGGTGCTTTTCTGAGGAACAAAGGGACTTCCTTAAAGGGAGGAAACAGTGGCTTAGGATTTTTGGAAAGGAGCTGTATCCAGCGAAGTCCAGAGACAACAAAACCACATTTATGTCTGTTAACACAGGCCAGCTCAGTTATTGTGTCTCTTTGACAACTCCCAAGTTTTTGCTTTTTAACTAAACACTTTTGCATGTATAACAGTGAACTCCGAGGCCCTCCCTGGTGGTGCAGTGGGTTCAAGCACAGCACTAAAAAGCTAAATCCACGTCAGCGTGAGTTCGATTCCCCGCCTGCCCCGGAGGTGACCCACTTGGCATCCCAGACCTCTCCTGACCCGCCGCTGCTCCCCTCAGCAGTGTATGACTTCAGTCGGCCTGTTTGCCCTACTCTGTCTCTGGTTAAGCCTCTCACTGCCCCTTCACCTCTGGTTTGTACCCCAGTTCAGGATGCATAAATCAATCTTTAAAAAAAAAAAGAATTAAGTCCCAGCAGTATTAAGTCATGCATGCTTACATTACGGCAATACCTTTTGAAAAGATTTATGCATGCTGAGCTGGGGTACAGGCCAGAG